TGTATCAAATCTAAAGCTCAGAACTTTTTTGTACACCTAATATATCTCGAAATTTTTAACAGCCAGAGGTGAATTCTATAGCCTTTTGTATGAATTTTTTAATTGTTTATCGTATCAATTAAAGGAGTCTATAACTTATTAGTTTTAATTTAATTTCATTATTACTCACAATTAATAAAAAATATAAGATTTTGCCATAAGGTTTTGCCTTTTCTGTAGCTGAACTAGTGTACATTTTTGGAACTTAAAATGAGATAAGTATTATATTTTATATTTAGCGAAAGAGAGTTTTATGCACTACAATTCTCTACACGTCTAGAAATAAAAAAGAGGGTCGATTGTGTATCTCGAAATAAGGTAAAAATTGCAAAAGTGAGCAAATTCACTAAAATAGTTATAATTTAATTGGTCAATATTTAGTGAATTTGCTCACTTTTGTAATTTCTCCACATTTCGAGATACACAATCAACTCTCAAATTACTTGAATGCAAGTGAATAGTTATATAAGGTGTGTTGAAATCCAATATTTTTTGCACTTAAAATGAGATAGATATACATATATTTGGCCTTAAAAAGAGAGACAACGAAGGTGTCGAATAGAAAAAGTGCAAGCAACGCGAATAAACCTATCTACTACTGAATGCATACATTTTCTCCTTGAGGCTGAAAATTTTTCTGCAAACATGAACTATATAAAAGCGAATATTCCAATATTCAGCACATTTTCAACAATGTAAAATGTAAACTAAATTATCTAAATATCATTCTAGATAAAGATGACACTTTTTTTATCCAAAAATGCAGATAAAGATAATTAATATTTTTATTATCTAGATAAAGATAAGATGATATTAAAATTTCATCTAGATAATTTTATCTAGTTAAGATGTAACACTGACAACGTATATACATAAACCAAGCATTTCCATGCTTTTCGATGGTGGCCCGAACAGTACAAGTCGATATGTCGATTGTAAGTTGACTTTATTAAGTCAGGCCTTTAGAATCAACTGTAAGTCAACTTTATATAGACGGGTCCTTCCAATGTCGACTTTAGGACGTCTAATGCGATTTATGCTCACAAAGCTTAAATGTGAAACCATTTCGTTCTTGTTTAACTATAGTTCTTTCATAGTTTCATTGTTAACTAATGCTGTTCATGAGCGTTATGGGCATGAATCGGACCACAGCCTAGAACGAATGACTTAAAGTCGACTTATAGTCTTTAAAGTGGAACATTGGATGATTTATGCATAGTCTACAATGGGCAATAGTAGCAGTGGATTATAAGAAGTAGGCGTAGAAATCGACCAATGATAGTTAATTATCCTTCTCACATTCGACTGATTTGTTAATTTCTACGCCTACTCTTTAATCTATTATTGCTACTGATCATTGTAGACGATGCATTAGAGATGTCTTCAAATCGTTTAAAGTCGACTTACGGACGTTCATTTTTCAGACGTTCAGAAGCTATAGTCGACTCAGAGTCGACTTAGAGTCGATTTTGTGCTATTGAGGGGGGAGGGGGTTGAAGCCGGAAATTTACAATTTATATGGAGTTTTAGGACCCGTGCTATTTCACTCTATCGCACTGCTCTCCATCAACATAGAAAGAGACATCACGGGTCCTAAAAGTTACATGAACTGTCAATTTCCGACTTCAAGCCATGGTCAGAATGTTTGATCTATGTATATATGTTGGACTGCATCTTTAGACTGCCAATCAGAAACTTCGACGTCAATGTCGGGTTTCTTCTCGGGGGAGCTTTTCAACAAGAGACACATGCTGGATTCACAATCCTATTTTCAGATTGATGTAGAACACCGTATGACTCACAGATATTCTAAAAGAGATCAATCGACTCGATCCGCGATTGGCTTTGCCACGTTGTGAAAAACCAAAGTCCAAAACCGGATGTGAAAAAGAGAGAAGCGAATATGAGAGAAAGAGAAGTGACACCAGCTTGCTGTCAAAATTCTCATCAAGAATTAAAATATTAAGAAATAAAATATGATATATAATATTCTTACATCCTGTTTAGGATGTTTAATAAATATATAATAGCACATATATTAATATTTGTACTTTGAACAAATTATATGAAAATTGTGTTTAGAACATTCTGTTTTATAGTTCATTTACTTTATTAGTCATTATTTTTATTGCTATTACTACAATTTTTTAAATTTTTTAATAATAAAAATTCAATTTTTTTATATAAAAACTTTAGTATTCAAAATAACTCATGCAATTTTTATTTATTGCGATTAATTATAAAAATTTAGAACAAATAAATTAATTACAAAGATTTAAAACAAATAAATACTTTGTTTATTTACTGAATTAATGTTTGCATCGCAATATGTATAACTTTATATAAATAATCTTTAAATACATAAAGTACTTGTATTAAAAAATTAAAAAAAATTTGGGTCATTTATTTTATAAATACCTTTCCATACATTTGTATTGAAGCACAGATTACAAAATATTACTTTTTATTTTGAAAACATTTACTTATCATCTAAGTGATAAATCGTCACTACAAAAAATTTGTTGTATTACTTTTAAATATGATTCAGAATAATTTATATTCATAATTTATGTATTATGTTAAAATATATTTATCGAACATCTTTCAGCGGATTCTCGCGAAAGAATCGAAAAGAATGTGAACTCTCGTGAAAAAGCACTCTGCGACATGGAGTGTAAAGTGCGAATACTGCGATGGGCGCGTTTGCACGGTACGTTTGCGCGAATCGGAGCAATCGGAGCGCGGTCTGTCCCGACTGCCGTCCGACTAGAACGGTGCGACTGCGATATATATCACGAGAATCACCCCTTTAATCGGCGCGGTAATCGGGCGCCGTCGGCGAATCTCGGGTTTACGCTCGGTTCCGTCGTGCTCCGCGGTCGTGGAGTCATGGTGCGCGTATGAAAATCTCGTTTAGTTTGATATCCTTGGCAGGTTACGATTGACTGATCGAAAGATCGCCCGCCGATCAATTTGCCGACCGACCCGACCGTCTGCGAAGAGCGGATATCACGGTGCACGATATCGCGACAAGTGCCGAGAGCCCCGGATAGCTACTGTGGCACGAGGGAGGAGGCCGGACAACGCGCGCGCGCGCGCGCGCGAGAGCGACACAGGGAGTGACACGCGACGTGGTGCGTCCGTCCGTCTGTCCATCCGCCCGCTCGCTCGCCCGCTCGCACGACTGTCCGTCCGTCCGTTCGTCCGTCCGTTCATTCGTTTGTCCGTCCGTCCGTCCGCTCGCCCGCCCACTCGTTTGTCCACGACCGCTCGTACGCACGATACGGTACGGCACATACGACGCACGCACGCACGCACGGCGTCGGAAACGCGCGCGCGCGCGCGGGCACACACATACACACATACACGTACACATATACACATATACACATACACACTCACACTTGTACAAACACATACAAACGCACGGAGGAGACCAAAGAGAGTCCCCCCGTCCAACGGCGCCAATTTAATGGATCCGACCATCGGTTGGTACCAACCGGAGCAGTACGGCCCTGCCAAGGACCTTTGGTTACACATTTGGGAGGCCGAGAAGGGTCTTGACGTTCTGACCCTGCGTAACGACGCGAATACAAGTAATGCGATGGGCGTACGGCTGCAGCAGGACTTTCTCGCGCTGGACACGAGCCCGGCGGCAGCGACGACGACGGCGACGGCAACGACCGCGGCCGGCACTATGCCGTTATCCAACAGCACTGGCATCGGCAATACTGCCGGTGGCGGCTTCAGCGCTGGTAACAACGGCAATGGCAACGGCAACGGCAACGG